AAAAGAAATGAAAAGGCCAGTTTTCACATGCATTAGTTATGCGAGTGATACATAGAAATGGAAAAAAGGAAGAACCGTAAGGCGTTCACGCAGACAGATGAAATTTCTTAGCATTTATTAGGCCGAGATTAATGGCTAACCTCCGAAACAGGTATTTGGTCTTTTCACAAACTTCTATCGGGAGTGAGGAAAAAAGAAAAATCTATCCAGTAAGACACACATCAGATGTGCTAATTAGCTGGATGGAGAAAGTTGTCTTCGTTAATCTTGTTCTTATGTCATCATGGATCTTGGGCAGGAGCCCCTAAGATAACAAGATAGTGAACTTTGGAATTGTTTCTTTATCACAACTACTGCTTACTTTCTGAACACAATGCCTCTCTTACTGATAATGAGCCACCCAATTCCATTGTGTCATAAAAATATAGAATATTCTATGTTGGAATGAACTTCTGGAGAACATCTGGTCCAACAGCTCATGTTAAACCAGGCCAGCTTAGATCAAGTTTCTCAGGGTTTCATCCATGTAAGCACCTCCAAGGATGGAGATTCCGCAGCTACTCTAGGCTCTTGTTGAAAGCACCAGAGATTAAAAAGCTGTCCTTACATCTCCCTAATTAGAATTCCCCTTGCTGTAACCCGTATCTGTTGCCTCTCATCAGTATTAACATCCAAGAATAATACAGACCTGTGTTTTCTACACCATCCAGCTAAGCACTTGAAAACACAAATAAGATCTTTCATTTCCCAAGATTGAACAAACCCAGCTCTCTCAGCCTCTCTTTGAACATGTTGCTCTCCAAAAACCTAACCCACCCCAGTGGACTAGCTTCAATACGACAGTGACATGGAAAGCTCAAAACAGAACTCACGCATAACCTTACAAGTGCCAAACAGCAGGGAACAATCCCTTCATTGACTTGCTAGATACCTTCTGATATTGCCTACAATACAGTTTTCATTGCAAAGCTACACCAACTCATGTTGTTTGTGCACTTGTGTGTTGTCCTGCAAAACTGTCTGTTGACCAGGCAGCAGCTGGCCTGTGCTGTCATGCATGGCCTAGATACAGATTTTTTTCTTTTTCTCTGTTAAATGTTTTGATGTTTCTGACAGCTCCTTTCTCCAGCCTGTCAATGTCCCTTTAAATAGTATCACTATCTGCCAGCCTATTGACTGCTCTCCTATGTTTGGTATTCTCCATCAGTTTGTTGAGGATGTATTCTGCCTCACTGTCCATGACATAAATAAAGACTTTGAACAGTACCCATCAGTGCCAGTACCAACTCTAACCATTGTCACTAATAAGCAGCCAACGGCTGGATTAAGTACCACTGATAAAAACCCTGTGAACCTAACGGCTCAGCCACTCTTCTGCCTACCTAAAGAGCCTGCTTATCCAGTCCCTATGTCAACAAGTCATCTACACTTACTGTACAAGAGACCCTCTCAAAGGTATTGCAATACTTAAGGAGAACATCATTCACTGTTCTATGCCTGTCACAGGCATTCATCTTGGAGTTAGCAGGTAAAAAGGATTCATTTCATCTCCCTTTGCACAGCTGGATTTCCCAGGAAACCAAACCCTAAGGATTCTGAAGCAAACTGTCTCAATATGTATTTACAGCAATTTTTACAGTATTTTTTTTTTGAACTCACAATTACCTTTTCCATCCTGTTTTGTAGAGATGACTTCTGCTCTCCAGCCCCGAGAATGCAAAGTGACCAAAAAACCCAAGAAGAGCTATGGATTTTTCCTACGTGTGGAGAAGGACACAGCAGGACATCTCATCCGGAACGTGGAAAAGAACAGCCCCGCTGAAAAGGCTGGCTTGAAGGATGGAGACAGAGTCCTCAGGGTTAATGGTGTGTTTGTAGACAAGGAGGAACATACAAAGGTACAAACCTGTTTAGTCTGGGGTCCACATCACCTCCCATGATTGAGACCCACTGTCACTATTGGAAGCTTTCTGTTCCATTTTTATGGCATCTTCCAAGAGCTGAGTCAGCTGCTCTGCATATCTCTCTGCATCATTTATTATCTATTATAAGCAGAGAGATGTGACAACAAAACCAGTGAAGAGTGTAACCCTTCCTGGGGAAAGCTTTTAGGTCAATCACTCTGTTTGCCATTTCACCTTGTCCATTACAGGTGGTGGAGATCGTAAAGAACAGTGGGAATTCTGTTGTATTTCTTGTTCTGGATGAAGCATCTTATAAAAATGCAGAAAAGGAGGGAGCAAATCTGGAAGAGCTGGGTCAAAAGGTATCAAAAGGAAAGAAGAAACAGCAGTCCACACAGCCCATGGCCAATGGAGCAATCACTGCAGTTCCACAACCACGGCTCTGCTACTTAGTGAAGGAGGAAAAAGGGTATGGCTTCTCCCTGAAAACCACAGAAGGTGAGAGCCTGGGGAGGACAGATGGTATACATATGACAGCCACAGTTGGGGGGTGGGGGGAAGGGTGCTCTTGCTAACAGAGGGGAAGTAAGAAGCAGCAAGATGGATTCAGACCCATCTCCAGTCAATTTCTGTACAACATATGGTTTCCTGAGGACCATATTTCTAATGGAGCAGAAAAAATAAAAGCCAAAGAAAAAAGAAACAGCCACCATAGCAGTGGTTCTCATTTACCAAAGCCATTTCCACAGTTGGTGCTTGAATACCAAATATATCCTCAACTGCTGCTTGAAGTCCATTTTATTCCTCCAAATCACTTAAGAACTAGAATACAAAGTTCTAGCCAGCTAGTCAGTAATAAGACGACAACCAAATGCTTCTCCTGATTCATTTCATTTAGAAAGTAATTTTCAGTCTCTTTCACACCTGTCTTTCTTACAAGGCTAGTCAACAGAATAGGCAAACCTTCCGGAAATCATCAACCACGAACAGGATATTTCAGAATGCAGAATAACCAAAAGATCAAGTATCTTTCAAACACAGGAAATTCTGAAGCGTGTAAAACAGCACTAAAAACAGCTCATCTCTTAAAATGTAAAAAAAAAAAAAAAAAAAAAAAAAAAAAAAAAAAAAAAAAAAAAAAGTCCCTTTCAGCCATCTTCATCAGCTCCTTTGGCACTCTTGGTAGAGAAATAAGAGTTTTAGTTGTAGTGGGAAAAAAAAAAAAAAACAAAACAAAAACAAACCAAACCACCTCCCTTCCCCACAGTACTGATATTTCCTGGGCAGAATAAGAGAAGTAAGAGACAGAGGCGTGTCTACATTGATTTGTGGTGCCACTATAATATGCACATAAGAAGAGACTGAGAGCGTCTAAGGACATCAGTGCTGAATCTTCTTAGCCATCAAATGCAAGCATATTTCAGTGAATTACTCTGTGTAATGGGTTACCATCTATTTCAGGTCAGAAGGGGTTGTTCATAGTAGATCTGGCACCACAAGGAGCAGCTGCAAAGGCGGGTGTCCAAAATAAAGATCGCCTGATTGAAATCAATGGAAAAAATGTGGAAAATGACACACATGAGGAGGTGGTGGAAAAGGTATTTGTTTGTGTACTGATTCACCTTCTGTTCTGGCCCATTTTCACAGCAATTTGTCAGGCTTACTGAAGAGGCAGGTCTGGCTAGTTTGAATGCATCACAGCAAATCTTAGAAGCTACTGTTTATACTTTACCAACTCAGTAGAGTACCCTTCTGCTTTGGCTTTGTTGTCATATGCTCTCTTGACCTGACTCTGAATGAACACTGCCATCAAAACAGGCCAAAGAATTCTAAATATGAGAATTATAGGAGTGCCAGAAACCATAGTAAATAAAACATGCTGTTCCTAGAAATCCTGGAAATACTCCTACTAGTAAGAGAGAGGGCAAGTAACTAAATACAAGTTTTAGGAAAGGAAGAGGAATAACTCTCTGATGATGTAGACAGCACGGAACAGGGTGAATTCATGATTTTAGACAGCAGTTCCTTTTTTCTGCTAAGAAGCCCAAGATTAATGAAAATTAAACTGCAAGTAATTTTGCTGCCTAGCCTCAGCTGCTAAGAACATTGCTAATGAGACTTCCAGTTCTCCACTAACGGCACTGCTAAACCACAGCCAGAGCTGAAGAGATTTCAGAGGGCTGGTCATGCTCTGGCATTCCAGCAACACATTGAGTGCAGGCTTCTAGCTACAGAGCTATGCAACACCTATGCTTTTTGGGGCTGCAAACCATCAGCTGCAGTGATGTTCGTTATGAGTGAAGAGGGCACCCATTGAACTAGAAAGCAGTTGGAGAAAGGCAGAATTAAATGGAAAGTTTGAAGAGACCAAAAATCTTCAGTCAGTCATGCAGGGACATTGAAGCGGGCCAAGAGCGTGACAGAAATTTAACACTAGGGCAAAGATAAGTTATCTGCTTGTTGCTGCTATGATCCAAAATAGTGATAGAGATGGCACGATATGTCTGCCTTACAAAGTTTCAGGTTTAGATGAGAGTCAGGCACCATCTATTGAGGCTCACTGGATTTCACTGCCACTGCATGCCAACCCCTTATAGCTGTTAGGTAGCTCAATTCTACAGCTAGTTATTCAGAGACCAGGAAAGCAGTAAGAAATACAGAACATTTCCTCATATTTATGCAAGATTTTGTGTCTCTGAAATCTTGACATGGTCCAAATTATTAAGAAAAAAAGGAAAAAACCCTAAAATAGTGTCACCCAGACCTTCCAGCTGATGCAGCAGCACTCACCACCACTGGTGTATCAGTAAGCCAGTTACTGACGTAACTACAATTGTTTTTGAAGGGGTCATGTCTGTGACTGTACATGTACTAATGCAGGTAAAGATGTCTGGAAATCACATTATGCTTCTACTTTCAAATGAAGAAACGGACCGCTATTATACAAGCCAGAAGATGGTGCTGAGCAAAGAGAACGCCAACCTAAAACTCCTTCCTCTTAAACCAAAACTTATCGAGCTTCAGAAAGGAAAAGATGGTTATGGCTTTTATCTACGGATGGAACAAAACACTGGTGGTAAGAACCAAGCCAACACATGACATTTGCGATAGTTTATTCCACTACTCCTACAGTCTGCAGACTCATTCTCTTCATCTGGCTTCTTAACAAGTCCGTATCAGGGAAACTGCCTCACACTCAAGTGCAATTTCAACAGCTTTTACAGCAGAACATGATTACACTTACCAAACAGTCCTTCACATCCATCTTCTTTTCCCCTTTTGATCTTAGATCATGTAATCAGAGATGTTGATCCCAAGAGCCCAGCAGCCAAGGCAGGTCTCAAAGATGATGATATCCTGGTAGCTGTCAATGGTGAGCGAGTGGATGCACTGGATCATGAAAGTGTAGTGGGAAAGATTAAGCAGTCTGAAGAAAAAACCACATTGTTGGTAGTGGATAAGGAGACTGACGCCATGTATAAACTGGTAAGTAAATGCAAGCTACAGCTAAAGATCATTAATAAGACACAGAAGCAGCAACATATCAGTCTGTAAGAGCAGTTTATCTTACAGCAAGGGTCTAAGATGCATCCAGATTTCAGCAACACTCCTTGCACTTGAGTACCAAATCACTAAACATCTACATTTTTGGCCTCTTCCATGTTTTTAGAGGCACTGTTGGAACCACCCATATTTGAAAGCATCCCAAGGCTGGAATAAGACAACAAAATCAGAATTAAATTATTGTGTAATCTTTTGTGAGCAATACAAACCTTATCATGTGGATCAACATTGTAGCTTTCCACTTAACCAGACATTAACAGCAAAGAGTAGCTTGTTGCAACTCGTATCTGAACCATTAGGTTTCAAGCAAAACATATTTAGCAAGAAACCTACAGATTTCACAACAGGTTTCATATCAAAGTTTTCTTTGTCACTGTTTTTTCAGGCTCAAATTTCCCCCTATTCATATTACTACAAACAACAAAACCCAGCTCCAGCAAAAGCAGAGGAAAGAGTTGAGCTGCACACTGAACATAAAGTGAACCACAAGCCAAGAATCTGCAAGATGGTAAAAGGGCCAAGTGGATTTGGCTTCAATTTAAACATGGTCAAGAACAAACCTGGACTATTTATTAATGAGGTACTAATGTAAGATAATCAACAATGAAAAGCTTGCGTAGTATGTTGGGCAGCCCTCTCCCTTCCACCCTGTAAATGCACTCAAGAAAAAGCACAAGACAAAACTCTTCTCCAGCTCTCTTAGATAATTGTTAAAAGTCAGACTGATATTATAGGACCAATATTAAAATAAACACCAGAAAACCTCATTGCTTTTATTCCACTAGATATCTAAAAGGAAAGGAAATCCAAGTTTTGTTTCATTTCTTGCTTTTATTTACAAGGCTGGAATGCAAAAAAAATAGTATTTAAAATACAGATTTTTGAACTATAGAATACCCTGGAAATGTAAGAGAACTTTCCCTTCCACTTATCAGAATTTCTGCAGCTGGCAAGAGTGAATCTTGTTATCACAAATTACATCTGTGCCTTTTGTTTTCTGGAAGGGAGGAGTTTCACACATCACTAACGAATATGTCAATGTAGTCAAGTTAAGTTTAAGTTACACCATTATAGGCCTATTGTCTCTTTCAATTCAGTTCTGCCCCCAGAATCTCCCTGCCGCACTTATTTTGACAGCTTAGTGAACCATCAGTTGCTAATGCATCTTCTCAACTTTATGCTAACGTCACCCTTTGAACTTGCCTTTGCAGGTACAAAGACACGGACCAGCTGATGTAGCAGGCGTAGAAAATAATGATGTTTTGGTGGAAGTGAATGGGGTGAATGTGATGAATGAGCCTTATGACAACGTTGTGGCAAGAATCAAAGAGAGTGGTGATAAAGTAACGCTACTGGTGTGCAGTAAAGATGCTTACAAATACTTCCAGGACCAGAACATTCCCATCACAGTCGCTATGGCAGATCCAGCCCAAGACACTTCTGAACCTCCTGCTTATACAGAAACCTCAGCAGCAGAGTCAGAGAGAACCTCGCCTGAACCAAGAGAAAGGGTAAGTATTACCGTATTAAACAAATGCCAAGGGATCACGGAGGAGATGCTGAAAGAACTTCCTATAACTGCTGTGTATAACTGAGCTAGGATCCTCAATTTTTACAAGTCAGTCCAAGTTATCAAGAGGGAAGCTGTGATATGATTACTGTAAACAACTCTTTCCTTCCCCAGGCATAATGCAGGTGAATATCTCTAATGCACAATTAAATTACAGAAAGAATGCACACACAAGAGACTTTATGGAACAAGACAATCTACACACTGCAATCCTCAAGGAGGCAATACAGTCCTTTAAGTGCAAAAAAAGTCCCTAAATACACAAAAAAGCATAACCTGCTTTTGGAGAAATTAGGTGAAATATTTGAAAATAGATTTTTTTTTTTTTTTTTAGAAGAAAGAGCAATCAACAGATTATGATGACATTTGCAAAGAAATGCACAGATTTAAGTAATTTTGCTCACATTATACTGGCAAAAAGAATCTGAAGTATGACAGAACTCAGAGGAGCAGCAAAATAATTCTTCTTGAAACAGTAATTTTGAACCTTCTTTGTGGTCAGCCTTAAGTACTGAAATGCTTCCTTTTGATCACGCAAGAGAGACAGACAAGGATAAGACCAATACTGCCTCCTATCTTCCTACCTATTTTTCCATGACCCTTGACTGCAAATATCTAGCTGCCAGGTTTTTCCATAAGTTCTGTCAGAAGATTAGCACTACTTCAGTGTGCAAGTTCACCAGATACAGGAATTAAACAACAGGAAACTTCTATTAAACATATTTGTCTCTAAAACATAGCTAACGAGAAAGCACTTCAGTGACAAAAGTCACATTTACTGGCTCATTATGCCATCCAAACAAGTATATCATTAGTGCAGATTAAAACAGGAGTCCTTCATAACACTGCAAACCAGCATGTTTACAAACTAAAAATAACCAGAACGTATTTGTTACTCCTCCACAGGCAAGCTCATCTTCCTCTTCACAATCAGCTGCCTCAGCAGGAGCAGACAGCAACAGCAGCGATGACACAAGGCTCTGAGGAGACTGACTATGCTGAGAACAAAAAAGAAATCTTCCAAATTCTTTCTTCAATCACACTTTGCTACTGCAACTTCAGAGTTTGACTATCCATACGAGTACCAGACCTGTAAGGGACCGTGCTGCCTTGCTAAAATGCCACTGCCTGAAATAAGCCCTTTAGCGTATCCTGCAGTCCCTTAACAAGCTGCAATTGTACTTCATTCACTGCACAAGTCTTTCTGTCTTGTAAAATGGGGAGTAAGCCACTTACTACTGTAAAGGCTTTAATAATTAGAAGTACACAGTTAAGTATACTGCAGCACAGGGAGGAAACAGTTCATAAATTCCTAAGTATCTGAGCCTTTTAAGAACGAGCGTTTAATAAAGACCAACTGATTTCTCGCCATCTCCCAGGAGAGACAGTTCTCCTAATCCAATCCCATTAACACAATCCTGGAGGTGACGATCTGTGCTGTATTTATGGCAGTGCAATCGCTATGGTATGTCATGAATTAATATACTCTGTGCAATACACTCCTTTCTTCCACTAACACTGCAGAAATTTCTTTCAAACATTAAGTTAACCTCATAATTCATAACTCAAAACCTAAAACCTTTAAGCACTGTTCTCTCTCCTCTGCCTGAATTTGCAGATCATAGTGGTTAAAAGCGTAATTCAGTCGTGCCGGTTTGTCTAATTCCAAGTCAACACCACAATGTCTTGGATGTTATATAAATGGCTCTGCAATATTGCTATTGTATGCTTTTTGTCTCCTTCCTGTACACCAAAGACAATACAGAATTAAATTGTTTTCAGTGGTTATTTTTTCCCCAGGTCCTAGCCTTACCACCTATGATTTATGTTCCAGAGCAATTTTGTAACAAACAAAGCCTGGGAGTGTGTCTATGGGAAGCTACAAGTTCAAGTCACATGAATAAAATTTACTTTTATGCCTTGAATGACATCAGAAAGGGGAAACAGGCTACTGTAGAAGAATATACAGGTTGAGGGGAACACCAGATTTATAGCATATAAGGTCAATACATTTATAACACGTAAGGTAAACAAGGCATAACTGTTATCTTTGACTTCATGCTGAACTCTGGCAAACAGGAATCCAAAACCTCAGTTCTGTTTACAAAACAAAGTTGAGGTTCAGCAAGAGAGCTAAGCTCCAGCTCAAAAGGACAGCACATACTAGTGATATCCTCTCAACTTCACTCCATTTCACTTCTGCCAGGTAGTAAATTCCAGCTCACTTGCAAACAAATATTTTGAGCTGACAAAAAAAACAACTGTGATGCTTGCATGAGGTATTACAAAAGCTTATTTAATTCCACAGACTTCCACATTCAGCTCCAAAATTACCATTCTCTGAATCTCAATTATGAGTTGCTTTTTAAAAGAAAAATCACATTTGCTTGATGCCTTCTCTGAAGACATTCTTCCAAACACAAGATACCTTACCTCAGACAGCCTACAGCCCCTTAGATACTGGTGTACCATAAATTCCCTTTATTCCTTGGCAATGTGTGCATTCCCTTTCCCTCAAGCTGTAGCACCTTAAAAAACGAGCCACAGAGCTTGACTGAAGACATGGAAGTTCAAAGAGCCAGTGACATTGCTTGAACACACAGAACTGTCCTGGCTCTCCAAGTTTTGCAGTCCACAGGAGTTGCAACAGTCCAGCAGAAAGGAGATGGGAGCAGTGTGTGTCTGCAGTCCTTATTTAGAGGGCCATATGCTTTTCTGGAGCTTGCTTATGTGCTAAGTAGAGAAAGAGGATGCTGGATAGTGCACTAACTAGAAATATCACATCAAACCAACGATGATAGAAGTTGAACTGAAGCTCTCCCAGGACTTCTGTTATAATAGTGCGGTACTCTAGAGGCATGCTCATTCGAATCAGGAGCACCGACGACACAAAGTACATACCCTGTAAAAAGAGAAAGTAGCAGTTGTTTTAAAATTGGCTTTGTGGCTATCATAGGACAGCACGCAAGGACTTTGTTATCTTTGTTTGTATGCAAAAACAAATATGTATGTATGCACAAATGCATACAGGTATGCCCATGGTTCTGCATACTCACCATGATCTGTGCTAGAAGCAGAACAATAACATTGGAGGACTTGCTGCTGGAAATGGCATAAAAGAACTAGAAAGAAAAAACACACAGGAAATAAGCTGGACAACGATGCCTTAGGACATCATGAAAGGAACATGCCATTCAATTCTCTTTCACATGAAAAGCATGTTTTTTCAGAGAGACGCATGTACCCTACTTTTAGGAACATGAATCTCTTAAGACAGTGGCAGGCACCAACTGGTAAAAGTCATGTATTAATATTTAAGAGTGGGTACTAAAACCCAGGTCAACACAAAGAGTCACATGTCTCTTGAGTTAATACCTTTCCAGCTCTACAAAAAGGACTAGCAGTTCAAATGAGGCAATCTAAATTCTTTTAATCATCATCTCATGAACCCTTACTAATATGCTGGCTACAGCATCATTCCGAAGCCATGCTTACACTTAACATCTCATTGAGCATTCACACCTCTTCCTGAGAATAACAGTAATAGAAACTGAGTGGGGAGAATATATTTTTCCTCTCCTCCTCCTCTACAAGGATTTAAATTCAGAGAGTAAAAACATGAATGTGTACTGATAGTTTACGCAGTATATGTTCTGTTTGAATTTAAAGATCTAGTAACATATTTTTATGAGGAAAGCTGTAAGACAAACATACCTTCGTAAGTGTAATTAACAGGCCTCTGATAGAGGTGACAATAATTATTCCAACAAGAATAAAGGAAATGTGCTGAGACCAGAATTTCACCTGTATCAACAAGAGGAATACAGTTAATTTTCTAACTCCATTTTCGCTACATCGTATAGCTGCCAATTCTTTAGGATCTTTGTACTTCCTAGCTGCACAATATCCACTGTAAACAGGTTTACATTACAAAGATAATTGTGAAAATATCTGTTAATTCATTTCATTACACACACAAGTAAAAAGATACAACTTACATCAATCATCTCTTTGGAGATGAAAAATTATAAAAGTGCAAATAACAGAATACTTGTTTCAAAGCTCTACTTCCTTTTCTCTTTAGTAAGTCAGAAGTCACAGATGCATTCCTAGGGTTCTATCACTTCCACGTTATGAGTATTATGCGATTGCTTTTGTGGGGTAGGAATTACTGAAAATGCTGTAAGAATTAATAAATCTCACATCAAACTGGATTCCCAAATAATTCACAGTGATCTCAATTCCTCTTGTGACTGGATCCGTCTTCCCCACACGGTCAAACACAATATTGATGGTTGCCTGCAAGGCAGAGATGGATTTACAATCAAAGAGAATAAAAAGAACACCTCACTGCTACACATGAGATTCTTGTTTGCATATCCAAGGTTGGGGGAGCAGCTAGATTGCCTAAGAAGGTACAAAAACACATATATTAGAAATGCTTGCCTAAAGTTCTGTAAAAAGAGAGATGCAGAGCTTTATTCCAGACAAATACCATTTTCATTCAGAATTTCCAGAAGCAAGATTATAAAGAGACTAGGGCCTTACTTAATACACTGCACCTACAGCATAATCTGTGCAGGGAGTGACATTTGCATATGTGCACATAAAACAGAACAAAATATTTACATACCATGAAGATTTTCCAGACACAATAGATGGAGAAAAAGTAACCCAAAAAATTGAAGTATTTTCCCTGGAAAGTTTTGGAGTACTCTATTCTTTCCTGGAGAAAAAAAAAAAAAAAAATCCAAGAGGGGGGAGAATACATACAAAAAATTCATTGCCATGATAACAACACAAGCCATACATTTTAATGGTGCACCAAGAGCAGTAGCCACAGCTTTATCCTACAACTCTTCTAATTCAAAGGCTTCTGAACAGCTCTAGAAACCTGTAGTATGTTCCAGCACATACCTAAACAGGAAGTAACCTGCCCTGTAGACCCCAAATTAAAGAACCATAGAATCATCACAGAACCACAGAATGGCTTGGGTTGGAAGAGACCTCAAAGACCATCTAGTTCCTCCCTGCCATGGGCAAGGTTGCCAACCATAAGCACTAGATCAGGCTGCCCAATGCCCCAACAGATCTGGCCTTGAATGCCTCCAGGGATGAAGCATCCACAGCATCTCTGAGCAACTTGCTCCAGCACCTCGCTTCTCTCAGTGAAAAATTTTCTCCTGACATCTAATCTAAATCTTCCCTCTTGTAGTTTAAGACCAGGCCCTTGTCCTGTCACTGTCTACCCACATAAAAAGTTGATTTTCCTCCTGTTTATAAGCTGTCTTAAGTTCTGGAAGGCCACAACAGATTCTCACTCCACCACATCACTACATTTCAACATTTACCTGCTAAACAGCTTTCAATTTCTGGTAACATACGCTCTCATTCAATCTACTTTAGCCCCCAACACATATCTGGGCAGTTATTTTGTTTCATACCTTTGTTGCATGCAGGTCAGCAGTTTCAAGAAAAAGCTGGCGGCTCAGTTCTTCTAGGGCATCCACTTCTTGCTGGATAAGAGACAGATCTGGCAAACCAGCATAGTCAAGGCTAGAGTACACCACAACTTCTTTAATTAAAAGAAAATATTCCCCACCTTCGCCTCAAGGGCCACGTCTAATTGTTTGACCACTCTTTTAATCCAGATCAGTTTACTGATACTGTCGTAGTGCTCTTGTAAATAATGCACCCAAAGACATCTCAAGGGTACCTGTGCTGCACAGTACTCCATTTTAAGAAGGCAGGTAGTACTCTTCTGCCTAGGTAACACATTGCAGAAGCAGAGCTCTCAAAGACTGCTTCTCCACTTCAATAAGCATCCCTTATCATCAGAGTGCACAGCATTTCACACTCCCATCACCTTCACAAACAAAACCGCTGAGTAACCGCCCCAGGAGATTAGTGATTATTATGAAGAGTCTCATCAAATAGCCAAATTCTCATTTTAACAGCCATTGGAAAAGGACAGGAAGAAGACTCCTTGGCCTTAAGCAAACTGCACGTTTTAGGTGCTCTGACAAATTCTTGGAAGGCAATGGCAAGGTAGGGAAATACAGACCCTTATAACTGTCCACATATTCCTTCCATCCTTATTGCATAGGCACAATAACATTTATTCACATTTTCCTATCCACTTTTTGTCACATTGCTAGAGCAACAGCAGTGAACCTACACCATGAGAATAATTCAATTGTTACACAGGCTGCTTCTTCCTCTGCAGAGAGGGACCTGGGGGTCCTGGTGGATGACAGGCTGGCCATGAGCTAGCAGTGTGCGCTGGTGGGCAAAAAGAGAAACAGCATCCTGAGAGGCATTAAAAAAAGCACGGTCAGCAGGTCAAGGAAGGAGGTCCTCCCCATCTATTCTGTCCTGGTGAGGCCTCTCCTGGAGTACTCTCCCCCAGAGTACTGTGTTCGGTTCTGGGCTCCCCAATACAAAAAAAAAAAAGACAGGGATCTCCTGGAAAGAGTCCAGCAGAGGGCCATGAAGATGACAAAGAGCCTGGAGCATCTCTCTTATGAAGAAAGGCTGAGCGACCTGGGTCTGTTCAGCCTTGAGAAAAGAAGACTCAGAAGGGATCTGATCAATATCTATAAATACCTAAGGTGTGGGAGGCAAAGGGATGAGGCCAGACTCTTTTCAGCAGTGAATGGCAACAGGACAAGGGGAAATGGCCACAAACTGAAGCACAGGAAGTTCAACACAAATGTGCTCAAGAACTTCTTCATAGTAAGGGTGACAGAGCAGTGGAACAGGTTGCCCAGATGTTGTGGAGTCTCCTTTCTGGAGATGTTCAAGACCCACCTGGACACCTACCTGTGCAACCTGGTGTAGGGAACCTTCTTTGGTAAGTGGGTTGGACAAGATAGTCTCTAGTGATCCCTTTCAGCCCCTACAATTCTGTGACTCTGTGATTCCTGCCTTTCTTCTCACTTTCCAACTCAGCCAAAAAGGCAGCTATAAGGGAAGACAACTGTTCCAGCACCTCAAACGGAGCTGTTGTTTTGCTCAAGCACGTCACAACTTCTTCACTCTGGAAAAGTGTATTTCGAGTAATGAAATAAAACATGTATGCAGGTAAGTCAGTGAGCCAAGGATACATCAGAATAGAAAGCTGCCTCCAGCTTCAGTGTTGTGACAGGGCAGACATCTGCAATGTGACACAGAAAGTGCATACATCTGTCCTGCAACCTGCTGTACACCTCAACTGTGATGATGTAACAGCACATGTACATAGCATGGCTGCAACATATGACTCCTGAGTGTCTACATAAAACCATGAGTCCAATCCCTAGGTAAAAGTTAATACAGTACAGCGCTAGACAGCAAACCTCCCAGAAGACATGAAGTCTTTTGCCCAGGCTTCTGGAATGTATTACAACACAGGTGCTTCACAACTGGCACACCTAACACTCTTCCTTTCAAAAGAAAGCTGGTGTCACCTCCAGCTGCCAGCATGCAGATGAAGGATACTTTCACTGCCTGCAACAGACGTCGTAACACTTTTTATCATTCCCCAGAAGCCAGTGGGTTTGTTGTGCACTTCCCCTCTCTGGAACATCGTCCTGTGAGCCACTGCTATTCTGAAAAAGCAGAAAACACAAGTTTTCAGGAGTAAAGTCTTTTTAGAATAAAGCAAAACAAAAAACAAAAACAAACTCAAACCCAATAACCAAAAAAACAGTTCCTCAGAAAAGACGATTAAACTAAATTCACTGCCAACAGATGCCCCCTTTTTATTTCCCTAAGCACTAATCCTGCTTCATAACATTATCTTGATTAGCTCTGGAATAGAGCCCAGATCTAATCAAGCAAGATTCAATGAGACACTTCCTAAGACTTCTATTTGGAATTCTGCTTCAATCCTTAGAGGGATTTAAATCCAATTAAAAATAAATATTCAAATGGCTTTCTCAGTCATGTGATTAGCTACTTTCATCACACACACAAGACTGTGCTATCTCCGATTCAGGAACTGGAAAAACTTTTCATGCCCCTTTCTCTCCTTGGACACCTCTTTATCACTGCACATTCCACTTCCTGCACAGAAGTGTGAGCACTGTGTGGTATGCAGCAGCTCTCTCACACGCTGTCACTCACTTCTAGGCTGCATGACAAGCTCTTATGAAGCAGAAACACATAAATCCATTATTGGACTGAACCACTGGACACATCCGGCGATCTAAACATGACTCCTAAAACTCACCCAATACTACAGCAGCAGCTGCATACTGTCCCTCACACCCCCACGTGCACTGCAGCATAATCCCTGCAAGCACTGCTGGCTTCTGGCCTCATTACCTCACATGTCTCTCCATTGAAATTTGTGAGCCAGTTATCCACTCTAAGCTGAAAACTATTCATAGTATCGTCAAGGCAATCCATGATTTGACAGAGTTCAGGTCCTTTTTTGTAGCTGCAGCCAGCACTGCTACATTTGGCACTGAGCCCTCTTCAAAGTTGCTGATAAGCAGTGTAATAAAAAACAATAACAACATAATAATATAATAAATCACACAATAGAAGTAATACCCTTGGGGCTCAGGTCTCCCCTGAGCCTCCTCTTCTCCAGACTGAGCAACCCCAGTTCCCTCAGTCACTCCTCATAAGGCCTGTGCTCCAGACCCCTCACCAGCTTAGTTGCCTTTCTCTGGGCATGCTCCAGGCTTCCAAGTCCTTCTTACTGTGAGGGGCCCAAAATATCTGCAAGGATGACTACGAAGAACGCGTCAACCTTAAGTGGCAAATTTCCTTAACGCATTGAGCACGCTCAGAAAGGATAGAATAATTCCTGTGCAAAAAGCATTAGCAAAAACAACTTGCAACAGCTGTCTCCAAGAAATGCTAGTCAGTTACAAGTCCCAGACATCCATACTTTTAAGCCAACGTTACCTTCCCTGAGATGAGAGATCCGAACACACTGCACTAAACAAAAGGGCAGACTGAAAAGCTGTACTCCACAGTAATCTTTCAACTCAATGCCAGCATGTTAATATCCTCTCTATCAATCATACAGCCAACTAAACCTCTCTGATTAAATACACCTTCTCACTAAACTACCACAAAAACACCATTTCTCACTGAATCACAAATACTGAGTTAACATTTGTCCACCACTTAACATTTTTAAAGGGGAAGAAAGAAGACATGCTTCAACTACACTTTCACACACTCAGCAGATCAGTTCACTGATCAGCAGATATGCATGCTGGTGCCTAGTTCAGCAAGACTATCCTACATTGTAATACATTAAGAGGTTCCATTAAAACATTAGTGCACCTGAAGTAAAGTTTTGAGGGTTTCTGCAAGGGTTCTACACCAGACAGACCTCTGAAGTGGCATGGGTGATTGCATTTACTCTTTATAACTGGCAAGGCATGAAATATGCAATTTGTAAGAGTACACAAAAATCCTTTCAGTGTAAATGCAATGGCACTGTTTCCTGAAAGTCACTTTTTCACCTGGGGGACATGAAATAAGCTAAATCAACAAAAGCAGAATTCGGATGTCATGTTTATGTTACCCTCTGGTGTCACACTACGCTACCACCATATTAGCAGTGTTCCACAACTCCACTATACCTTTATCAATATTCTTGCAAATAGCAAAGTTTACACAGCTGTATTCACATCAGCTCACTAGCTTACTTCAGTTTTGACTAGGAAACACCAGATCCACAGAGCAGGAAAGACCTCAGTATGTATGAATTCAACTGCTGTACCAAAACTGCCAATAAGAGAGTTAACTGAGGTGGTTCAAAGGACATTTATTCATTGAGAGAGAAAAATGTTTATCTTAGATTAGTCAAGTTGCCATCAGAGAGTTAGAGCTTCTCCTGGAAGCCTAATCTGTACTACTGCAGGAAAAAACATGCCATTCAAGGCAGAGGCCTGGGAAGAAGCCTAAGTTGCTTATCAGGCCAGAATGAAACCCCACAAAGCTACAACCCCACTCAGCCATCTGTTTCACTGGAACATGCAGCCCTGGAGAGAAAAGTTGGGTAATTTCAAGACCATCTTATACCATACTGACTGCAAATCCTTGACATAATTCATTTAATGCAACTGTTCCTTTCTCACCTTTTTTTCTTGCTAATAATCATGTCCATAGTCTGGAGGAGTCGTCGCTCCAAAGCGAGAATATCTGCATCTGTCACATTCCTGCAGAACAAAGACTCCCAACAATTAGGCCTGCTAACCCATTTCAGAGGGATCATGCACATGCTCATAAAACAGAGAGAGAAGCTTGTACAAAGAGATCCTTCAGGGATGAAAATGATTCTGGTGTGTAGAACAGCAATAGCTACAGTACACTTAGAACATGGAAAACAAAAGCCATCACTAACGCCATCAGGATGAGAAAAAAGCAAATTTAAAGAAAAAAATTCTATCAATTCAATGAGAAAAGCAGAATAATAACCTCAGAGGCAGACAAAATATTTCACAAGGCTGCAATTACCTGAGAAAGTAGGACATGTAAGTATACGGACAGTTGACAGCACCAAATCCTGACAGCAAAGCCATGAGTGTCACCCCAATCACACCCACACGGCTGATGAGCTGCTCTATAGACAGGATTCCTGTAAGACAAAGAACACAGCATCAGTAATGGGCTGCGCTCTTCATCCTTTCCACAGCTGGTGCCTTTGCAAACCAGTACACATACAGAGCTGCCTAATGAAACCAGCTACCTTCACAGTGCAATCATCAGAGGTAATACGAAGTACGGACAGGGACTACGAACAGAGAGAAGAAAGTCTCCCTCAGAAAGCACGTTATCATGCTTAAAAACAGGGGTAGGATACTCACACTGTGAAGAACATTAAGAAATCTGAAGGGGCTTAACAGACAACTCTTTGGTTCTACATTAATAAAACACTAGCGGCTGGACTTCGCTGAGGTGGGAACATACATCCACCAGGCTCCATAAAACAGACACATTCAGCAAGATACTCCAGCAATAACCAGGACAAGAGTCACCAAACCAGTTACTCCCAGCAATCTGGACCAAAACTCTCTGGATCATAGAGAGGAAGCCCTATCCCGTCAATCATTAGAAGCAACCCCTCCATACCAGGTGCAATTTGTGCATTAAGATAGCAGTTATGACAGCATGGGAAGTTCATGCTCCTGCTAGCTGTTCAGTATTCATTTTGTGGATACACACACACAGTTGAGGTGACCTCCAAGCAAGCATTTTGAGCACCAGGTGAACTCCAAAACATACATACATACATTCACATGACACAGCATGAACATCAAGCCTGTGCTGTATCCAATATCGAGCAATAAGACTGCATTTATTCTTCCCAGCCATGAAGAACAGATCTCAACCCATCTTCTCAGGATACAGTGTCAGGTACTATCAAACATTAACTTGCTTTTTAGGGAGATACTTACAGAATAGCTGCTACACACAGCACATTTGGAGCTTACATGATTGCAAAGCTGAGATGGCCAAGTGCCAAGCCACATTTCATGCTTCAGAGAAGGAGAATAAATGATGAAAACACAGCAAAAGGACTTCACAAAGGGAAACTGAGATAACCCAGTCATGTGCAGCTGCACAGAGATTTACACCAGCTACAGAATGTGCTACTATATCCTGGCCTTTTGCCCTACACACTATCAGTTAAAACAGAGGTGCCTTCAAAATGACATGACATTCCACTGTCTAAAATAACATTCCCCCTTAACACTCTTAGCATCTTTACTCTTGTGATCAGGTCACATAAAACACATGCTTTATGAATTCAGATGAAGATTAGAGTCTTAATAGAATACTACTAGGTAATCAGTACAGAATAAATCTGTCCACAGAGTCATGCTTAACAAATTGGAGATCATCTAGGACTCCTGACAAAAAGTTCTGGTCAGTGGTACATTTCACAGCTGCTGCACAGTGCCAGCACCACCCAAGGGTAAGGCAATCCCAACACAGGATGTCAGTGCATGTACCTAAAAGGGCTTCCTGCCATACCTCTTTGCACAAGATCCTATACATACGAATTACATCACCACCTCCACAACAAAGCCCAGCAATAGCCTTATTAGTACATACAAGACAGCAGTATCCCAGCCAAATCCTTGGCTCTAACTTCTTGCCTGAATCTGCTAGGATAAGATATTGTACAAATGTTAGGTTAAGGTACCATTCTGCAAAGCAGAAGACAAAAACAGGAGGGAAAAAGGAAAAAAAAAAAAACAACAAGAATACCAATTCTGGATATCTGCAGTTGTTACTCAGCTGCACAAGACTTTTAGAGTAGTCTGAAGAGGACCATCTGAACCCTGTGGCTAAACTCCCTTTGGATTAATACATTCTGCCAACTCAAGTGGATGTAAGTGGATTCACTTCTTTCTTGGCAATGAAACACCATGTAGTGATCTGTGCAATTTACAAGCTACTGTATTTCATGGGCAAATGACACAATTATAAAACAAGGACACACACTTTCTCTTAGGAAAGTTTTAGAACCACATATGGAAGGGTGAGCAGACCCTGCAGCAATTGGTATCCTTCAATTTTTATCTTCTGAGTCCAAAATAAAGTAGTCTCACAGAGAAGAGAAAGATTACATTGATGGTTATCTATCCAGACAGACACATTCACCAATTGGAAGGAAACTGACTGCAATCTCTTCCGTTGAGAAAAACACAAACAATTCTCCAGTGCAGGGGATAATGGCAGGATAAGTTATATAGGAAACCCAAGTGACAGCTAATCCTTCCTGAAGTGTTGTAAGACATACCTAGGCACCTAAAGGATTCAGAACAGTTACACCCACACTGACAGTGCCTGCCGCATAACAACTAAGTCTACACAGCAACTTCACAGTATGAATGCTCTTGGTTCTCTAAAGTGCAGAGCAGAGATACCCAAGCTAACCATTTCTGGCTGGCTGGCAAACTCCAGATTCCATGTTTCAAAGCAGACTGAGTTACAAGAAATACTTTCTGTAGTCCCTTATGTGGAATAAACATAACACAATAAAAGATAAAGGTAAGAGAGCAAAGACTTCTTCTAGGAGGGAAGAAATAAACAAGAATAGGAAACTCACCATGTTTTGGGCTGAGGATGGGAAATGGATCTCCCAGCTTCCAAAAGAAATACATAAATGTCAACCACAGAACACATGCAAAAAGCAGTTTCTGTCTGTGCACTGATGGAAAGAAAAAAAATAGTATTGAAGTTATTCCTTTAAGGCATTTTCAGTCTTACAAAACCACTACCATAGCCCAAAGGCTGCTTAAAGCATAGATGGCCAAAACAGGTGTATTCTGACAGTGCTGGAGCTAGCAGTATGCACCCCTTCACTTCCTACCAAACTCACTGCTTGAGACATCACCTTTTGCAAGAGCTTCCCCAGCAACACAGCATTTTGGCTTTTCCCTAAGGGCAGCACTGTGAGTAGGGAAGTACTTAGTCACATCTTTCTTATATGATCCTGAAAATGACACTTGGAAAATCCATCTTAATGCCAAAGTTACACATTTTGGCATTACACTATACTGCCAGCCCACACATCTCAGCTTAACACATAAGAGTGATGAATATTGATAACTCAAGGGTAGATGTGCCTTAGCACATGGAAGAGGCCTCCACCAAATAGTAGTAAGCAAAAAAAAAACAAGGATAATTTATTGAATTTTTCTGCTTTGTTTCTTTCACCCCTTAGTAGAACAATACAGGTAGGCCGAGGGCTTGGCTGAAACTTAAAACTCTAAAGGAACAAATTCCAGTTACAGTATTCCAAAGCACCCATCTTTGTTGAAACCTAGAGAGAAATGCTACGTTTGGGGAGCCAGGCGAAACACATCCTAACTTTTCAATAAACAGTTATTGCTCAAGCATTAAGCCCAGAACTTATCTAGCCAAGACAAAGCCAGGGCAAGGAAGAAGATGCAGGGAGAGTGACCAAGACATCTCAAAAAAAAGGAGTTCTCATTTGTATGTGTAGTCTCAAATTAGTAGGTCCAATGCCATAAGCCAAGTACTCACATAATCTGATATTGCTCACAACAAAGTAACCGATGTAGAAGGGGACCATGAAGACTAGGATGAGCAAAATGACACACAGGTTCAGCTTCCAGTGAAAATATCGAGAGCTAAAAGAAAGCCAAAATACAGGTAAGCATGTTCCATCACAACAAATTTCAAGAAGACAATCACAACTCAACGCAGTCCTTACTGTTACATCAAGCATTGGATAACACTGGCAGCCCTGCCCATGGCAGGGGTTGGAACTGGGTGGGTTTTAAGGTCCCTTCTAACCTAAGCCATTCTGTGATTCTATGACGTTTTGATAATAATTATTTTTGTAATGAATGGCTGAGTCAAGGAAAGGCTAATACAAACTGAAAAGATAAAAAAATATTTTATGTTCTTAACTCAACATAATTCAATTGAAAGTGATTTTCTCACATGCAAGATATTACAAAGCAATCAACACTCCTCCGGCAGAAGAGATCAGCCAAATTCAGATGAGATTCATCTTGGTTGAACTGACCTTCCATTCAGCTTTCCAAGAAAAACACCTTATTCCTAAAGTGCCTTATTCCCAAGACTGACCCATGTCCTATTCATGTCTTGCAGAAGATCTCCTGAGGATCCTTGTCACTTTTTCCTAGCTAATTCAGAGGCAGACATTTTCATCTATAATGATTTCCAGCCCTTTGTTAAAGCTTATAAATGCATCCTCCTCAGTGATCTCTCTGACAGTAAGTTCAATAATAAGATTTATAACACACAGTCTAAACTACCAGTATCTTATATCCATTTTGAACTTCTTGCCTTTCAATTCCTTTAATTGCACTCTTAGACTCATATGATGAAAGACAACAAATGGGAAACCCATAACCTTTCCCTGTTACTGCTCTATCTTCTCTTTCCTGCTGCTTTCTGAAGTAACCACCTTTTTACATCTTCTTTATGTAGAAACCCTCACCTATGTCAAGGAAAGATGTGCCTTTGATTCACAAATACTGTTCTACTACAAAGTACAGTTCTAACTTCACAATTAGCTTCACATCTTATTCCCTGCTTTGACCAGTACTGGAAAACAAGGGCTTATAGTTTTTATAGTTCTGAGCACCTGAAAAGAGCTCTTCAGCATGATCTGAAGCTTCACAGCTCACCCATAAAACCGCTCTTTTATTTCACAAATGAAAAAACTCTAAGACTGAAGCTTTGTTTTTAGGCCACAATAATGGCAACTGTGGGAGAATCAGGAAATTAAGGCTTCTAGTTTCATGTTTTCTCAAATAAATCCTGCTGCTCAAACACCTCTGTTGAGCTATTTATCATTTCCTCCCATAATTCCCCAATACAAGTCTGATCTACCCATTAAGCTTCTGCACACTAGCCCTTCAGAAAGCTCCCAAACTCACCTGCTGTTCAGCACTCCCAAAATCTCAAAGATGATGAGTTCAAACATAGTACAAGAGAAGGCAAAAGTCACAGAGAAGATGACTTGGACAACATACTGTCGCACCTGCAATGGGGAAAATAAGCCAGAGCTATCAGGCATTTCTGTTTGTAGAATGGCACCCTGATACCCCTCAGGTGAAGAAAGAAAAAAAAGAACAACACATGGTACAACTGCACACAGCTTTTGCTACAAGGTACGCTGCATTTAAACCCAAAGGGAAGAAACAGCCTGTATCATACTGACTGAATCAATCCTATTTGAGAGAGAAGTCCTACAAAGAAGGCATGTAACACCTGATGGCAACTTGACTAACGATAGGCAATTGCTAACAGTGTTCCATGCTCTTAATCTTAAGAGTAATTTAAGAATAAACTTTTCAGGTTGGCTTGCACTTAAGTCATCTCTTACCTAGACTATACTTCCTTACAGTCTTCTTGGGATAGGGGAATGTCATGTCCCAACCAATCCTCACAAACAATTTACTCCTCACCAAATTTAAACATGAATTTGATTTTGTCTCCAAAATTCTGCAAATATATAAGTCAAGCTTACTTAAGGAACAAGGCTTCTGTTACCCCTGCTCCTCCTCCAACTTTTTTTTTGTTGTTGTTGTTGCCAGTACAGAAACTTAGTGGTTCCATAAGAATCCATTTCCCCAGATATCTACCAGTCTTTTATTTAAAGTAGAGAGGAAATGAAAAAGAAAGTACGTGTACGAAAACTAAAAACAAAATAAAAGAGCTTAAAGAGTAGAAAAAGGTCAGAAACAGTTTTAAGAACACTGCAATAACTGAGAGTAATTTTAAGATAACGAGTTGTGATGAAAATCCCCTTCTTACCTCATAATCCTTGAAGAGCTTGCGCATGAAAAACAGCCATCCAAATCCAAAGAAGAGCACCTACAAAAGAGATCAAGTATCTTGTATTTGTGCCCACCAATTTGCAAAATATGAAGCTGCTTCACTATTGGCTGTAGGTGAAAGAAATGGAAGCAACAGAACAAGGCCAACATACCCAAGATATTAAACTTGTCAAGGCATCATGGAAAGTATAACATTTTAAATATTCAAGAGTAACAGACAAAGCCGCCTAGAATCTCACAGACAATTGAGGAAAGAGAGCTTTTTCCTGTATTCCCAACTTCTCAGAATACCTCAGCTCCTGGCCTGCCAGAATCTTTTACACTGTTGCTTCTTCTTTCACTCTTCAAGTATACAAAATTAAAGCTTACCCTTACATAAACAACTATTTACCCCAACCTCAAGGCAGTGGTCAAGTGAGCAAAATGCCCCCCTGGTTAGAGCAGAGCAAGTCTGAGAATGCCTCAGGAAGCTAAAAGGTACAATATGGAGCCAGATGCCATGCATCCCAGAGTTCTGAAGGAAGTGGCTGATGTGGTTGTAAGGCCACTCTATCTTATCTGAAAAGTCATGGCTGCCAAGCAAAGTTCCCACAGACTGCAACAAGGAAAACATCACTCCCATTTTCAAGAAAGGAATACCAAGGGAACTACAGGCTGTTGAATATCACATCTGTGTCTGGGAAGATCATGGAGCAGATCATCCTGGAAGAGATGTTAAGGCACATGTGAGCTGTGGAGGTGATATAAGACAGCCAGCATGACTTCACCAAGAGCAGATCATGACTGACCAATGTGGTGGCCTTTTATAATGGAGTGACAGCAACAGCGGACAAAGGAAGAGCAACTGATGTTGTCTCTTTGGACTTGTGCAAGGTCCAAAGAGACTTCTGACATGGTCCCGTACCACAGCTTTAAACTGGAGAGATACAGATTTGAAGGCAGCACTATTCAGTGGATAAAGACTTAGCTGGATTGTTGTAGCCAGAAGGTGGTTGTTAATGCCTCTGTCATGCTTTTATAGCTTTTGTTATCGGTATTCCACATCATAACATCACATAGAGCACTGGGAGTTAAAGAGTTAATGCTCCAGCTCCATGGACTGCCGATTTTCCAGGTACCTAGTTTTCAGAAGAGAACTACACACTTCAGAGGACCATTCATTTCCATTTTCCATTCAGAGGAAAACATAAAACTGCTCAGAAGTCACAAGGCAGCCCTCTCTTTTACTGCTTGTCTCGGCAGTGCACGCTCCCTAGCCATCTCGCCTTCAGCTTTAGAGTAAGGCCTTAAGTTTTGAACACTCTCTCATCTATTTGGTTTATTAGCTTCAATCCCAATTAACTTGTATTTCTACTGTTAGAACTAGTAAACTAACTTTCCTCCTTTTTCCTCATTCCCTCTTGGTTTCCCCACTAGCACCTTTTTCAGGCTGGTGGGCCTGATGTCCTCCTGTCACAGACACAGACAGATCTAGAGATAACTCCATGACAGACTCTATGTCCACGTGGAGGCCAATCACAAGCAGTGCCTCCCAGCGGTCCATCCTTAACCCCAGGGTTAAAGTCTCTTCCAACCCAAGCCATCTGTGGGGTATTTCATCGTGCATTAGAAGTCAACGGATTCCAGCAGCAGTACAAGTAACAGAACATTATTTACAAACAAGGAATACCCGGAAAGCTGGGTAAAAAAAGGTCAAATTCAATTGCCTTGAATGCAAAACTGGCATAGGAATAAGGTCTAGTGATTGACAGCAGGTGGCAAAACTGGTTTGAGGAGAACCTCAGCATAACCAATGAATATTAAGATGCTGTAACTACAAAATAAACAAGAGAGTTTAGCAAAGCAGATAATGATAACAAAAAGAGAATACATAGAAAATTTACCCCTATCCTGGGCTCACTTAGAAAAATCCAGCAGAGCAGATCTCCAGAAGAGATCCTTCCCCCCTGGCAGCCAGCTCTTAAATAGGTCTAGGAGAGGTGCAGCCAGGCTCCACCCCTTCCGGCAGCACAGGAGAATTGCCTTCACCTGTGCTCCTCTGGCTGACTCATGGCTCGCCTCAGGAGATCAATCAGAGGTTCAGGCCATGACACAGCAGTTCCCATACAACCTTGGACTTTAAAGTAGTTGATAGCAAAAATATAAGAGAAAGGTAAGATTTTCCATAAGCCTCCTATTTACAGGCCAGCCTATAAGTCAAAGTATGATTCCATTAACAGTGGGGAAGAAGGAGAAGGCAGACAGACTTGTCAAGAGGAATAAATAAATGAAGTAGAAGAAAAAGATGAGGAGATATTCAGGGACCATAATAACAGAGAAAATTATATATGAAGATTAGATTTCCTTTGTATTAGGGACTATACAAAAGCACAGAAATACACTATCTTACGTTCACGCTCTAAGATGCCTCAGGTGAGCACGAGTTTGAGCATTTGACAATTACATGCAGCAATTTAAACATCCAACTTCATATTTCTGAAGACGGCTGGAAGATGCAATGCTGCCATCACAAATGAAAGAAAAGCGATTAGAGAAGTTAGATCTTAAAAATCAAAGCAAATGATGGGAAAGCTTTTGTTCTAAGGGAACTAGTAACAGTATCAAAGCTGCACTCAAACCCTGACAGTTAAAAGGCATGTCAGAAACAAAAGTTAAATCTATACCAAGCAGGAGGAGATTTTACCTTTAAGAAACACTGAAATCTATCCTGAAAATTCTCAGAGGAACTGCAGTCATACAGGAAACACTGTATAAGATAACCAGCTGCTGTTGAGAGGGGAAAGGTGCCATTTCCTCTACTCATCCCTCCTCATTACAGAGCACAGATTTTAAATCAGCTCTGAAGCTGATCAGATTCCTCTGTGACCCAGATAAACTCATTTATATGACAGAAAACCAATATTCGAGAAAGCACAAATGAAAATATGACTGTGCAGCCAAGTGGAAGGGAAGAGGGGGCAGAAGCAAACAACTGGACCACCTCTGCAACCAGAGGAGCAGGGAGGAAGAAATTTGGATGCTTACTGAGGAGGGAGTGGGACAGCAAGGTGGAGAGGAAGGTCAGAGACAACATAATGACAAGACAAATTACTGGGAGTTAACAAAGAAAGATGGAGCGTTTCCTCCCACAAAACAATAAGACGATCTCAAATATGCTAAGATTACCACCCAGCTTGGAATGATAAAGACAGGATGATATGAAACAGGGTTTAACAGGCTCCTGGATGAATTAAGCTGGAGTAAAAAGCAGGCTGGTTGAAAGATGACCCCGAAGGCAGCAGGAAGGAAAAGTTGAGGGAAGTTCTAAATCACACGTGTCAGCACAGAAAGAAGCATTTCGGATAAAATAGCGGTGCCTTTCTGAGATTCCTTAAAGCAAGTCACGACAAACTTTGCAGGGCTGTAAGCAAGCAAGCACCTCAATGGCACAACATCACATAGGCCACAAATTATCAGTCTACTTAGGAAACAACAAAGACCAAGTCAGTGACACTAGAGAGCCACAAAATGAGCCTTCCTGGTGGTTCCAACAAGACCTAAGTTTATAGAAATTTGGCAGCGTTACTAGAAAACTCCATTCCCTACTGCCTTATTCATTGATTTTTTTGCTGTGCGTAATATTCTGATATGACAACTAGGCAAGACCAAGTGTCATGGTGACACACAACACAACAGACCAAAGAGGCGATACAGCCTTAAGCAATAGAAAATGTGCTGCCTAACACTCCTGAACTGCAGGTTAGTTGGTATGATTTCTATTTATTTCTTTCTAAAGCAGCAGGCGAAGCTATCCAGACACAAAGCCATTCCCCCTCCTCGGACCTGGCAACCCCGCCAAAACGCAAGAGGCACCGACGCAAAGGCATCGCGCCTTCGCGGAGCGCATGCGCGCCCTCAGACCCCGCCCACACGCCCCTCAGCCTCAACAGCCGCTTCCGGAAGCGCGGTGAGTGGGTAGCCCGGCAGGCCCGAGCGGCCGGTCCCACCTCGCCTCCTTCTCCCTCACTCCCTCCGTGGCCGGGCTCTCGCCGCGTAACACCGCGCTACCTGGGAGGTGACCATGATGCTGGAATCGATGAGGAAGCTCATGGTGGGCCCCGTGCAGCAGCGAACGGCCAGCCCGCGCTAGCGCCGCTGGTTGCAGTGCGCAGGCGCAGGGCCCGGCGCAACGCCCTCCGTGTGGCGGGGCTGGGATGAGGAGTGCCGCTCTTCCCGTGCACTGGGCGGTTCCTGACGGGTGCTCCCCGCCCCTGGCCGACGTCATCTCAGTGTGCTGGGTTGGGAAGGCGACACGCTGAGTGCGGTTGTAATAATGATAATAAAAATAATGAAAACAAACAGGTTTTCCTCGCGCTTTTCGTCAGTGTCCCACGAAAATGTTCTGTTTGAACATGTCTGCTGGAGAGGGTCCAGAGAAGGGTCACAACGGTGATCAGGGGGCTGGAGCACCACCCCTATGAAGACAGGCTGAGGGAGCTGGGCTTGTTCAGTTTGGAGAAAAGAAGGCTGCAGGGTGACCTCATCGCAGCCTTTCAGTACCTAAAGGGAGCCTACAAACAGGAGGGGAATCAACTCTTTGAAAGGGTTGATAACTGCAGGACAAGGGGAAATGGTTTTAAGTTGAAGGAGGGAAGATTTAGGTTGGATGTCAGGGAAGTTCTTTATTATTGAGAGTGGTGAGGTGCTGGAACAGGCTGCTCACAGAGGCTGTGGATGCCCCGTCCCTGGAGGTGTTCAAGGCCAGATTGGATGGGGCCCTGGGCAGCCTGGTCTAGCATTAAATAGGGAGGTTGGTGGCCCTGCCTGAGGCAGGGGGTTGGAGATTCATGATCCTTGAGGTCCCTTCCAACCCAGGCCATTCTGTGATTCCTATGAGTCTGTGAAAATGGCTGCTTTTGGGAAGTGGCTGTGGATAAAGGGCCAGGCTGGAGGCAGCCCTAGAGGAGGCTCAAGCAACTGGGGAGCCAAGGAGCAGGGGCCTGCTGGCAGTGTGATGACTGGCTGAAGCTGTGGTGTTTGCCTGTTCTTAACCTGCCGTGACCACTTTATAAGAGCAGAGCAGGATGTGTGCCAGCACCATGTAGGGAAGCAAGGCCAGCATGGCTGCCAGGCGCCATCTCGCACCTTGGGCCCTTCCTGCCCTCTGTAAAGCCAGTCAGGGCCAGCTTTCAGGCCTTGCGACTGTCATGTATCAAGGAATGGGGCCAAAAGGGAAATGAAAGTTCAAATGGGGAATTTCCTGATAGCTATCAGAGTGAGACTCAATTCTTCATGTCGCAGCCCTGCCCTCATTTGAACTTAGTGGTGTCTGTATCTTTTTTTCGCCATTAAAAATACACCTAACCTTTGCCACAGAAAACTGACTGTATTTGGAATAATAAATCACATGGGAAGTGAGAGAATAAAGCGGAACTAGGCAGGACTTCAACAAAGCACAAACCTCTTGCTGAGTGAAAATCAGTATCCTTTATTCATTACAACTCATTTCACTAGAAAAACGATTCCATGTGTGGTTGTGTTGAGTCATCGGATTAGTCCCACAGTCTCTTTGATAGTTTGGCTTTCTATCTTGCTGTCAGTCATCATGTTTTGAAATCTGTCTCCTTGTCTACAGCATTGCAAAGACAAAAAAACATTCAATTTTCATGGGCAAATGAACTGAGGGAGCAATTTACAGTTTCTGATCTGAGGCCCTCTTTTACAGCTTCTGGTATTGCTGCCAATTAACATCGAGCTGAGATCAGAGCTTCCCTCCCTGCTCATTCTTTCTGTGCCTACTGCTGGAAACTGATCTTTCCTAAAGTGATGAGCCTGCTGAGTTTGGGGTACCTGTGGTTGCTCTGTTCTGCAGCAGTAGCTCTTGGGGCAAGGCAGGTTGGTTGACTGGTTAATTTTCAGAGACAGTAGATAGGAATCCTGTCACGATTGAATTGTTCGAAGCCAAATTCTGGTCTTGTTTAACCCTGACAACTTGGCTGATTTCAAAAACAAGGGGAAAAGAAAAACAACGAGACAGAGTTTGGTCATAGCTTTTTAAACTTTCTTCACTGCATGTGTTTACAAACAGACTTGAAACATGCCTGTGCTAAGCTATAAATTATTGATCCCTGATTCTTGTAAGAAGGGAAGGAGATGATTCCTGTCAGAAAATCTCAGATCTACCCCTCCATCCCCACCAGGCTTCTCATTCAGGGAAAACAAAAAGTGTAATTATAAAATGGAAAAATATTCCATATAGTTCCTCCTTAAGCAGACACTGGTGAGCATGTCTGAGGAGAAGGGCCCATGGCAGCTTCCCAGATGTGACAGGTGGGTGGTTTCACCAGACACAGTGTAGATGATAGTGGCTGGAGCAGGGAGGCAGCACACGAGCAAAGGAGGCTGGTCAGTGCATTGCAGGTTTCTGCTTAGCTCCATCTTCTATTCTTGCACATCTTAAAGTGTGAATGTGGGTACCGTATGTTCAGTTCATAGTGAGAACTAGATTAAAGCCTTTAAAGTAAAGTGGAAAGGTGGAACATACTGATTTAAAGCAGTTTGTTGTGGTGGAATATACAGAGATAGCATAGGCTTCCAAAAGGTGCTACAGGGCATATTTGTGAATAATAGGCTTAGCTGGTAGCTGGCCATCCATTTTCATTTCTTTTCTCTCCAGAGTTTTTCATAAGCAGGAGCTCTGAAGCTTGGGAGCAATCTGACATCATTCTGATTTCTGAATTTATTTTTTAATTTATGTGTGGTGAGTTCTGGGTCTCGATTCTCACTGACAGAAATTTACTCTTTTGCAGGGTTGTCTTATGGCTTGTCTTTGGACTAACATGTATGTATTGAGAAATGTGCCTGAGCATTTTTGTCCCAGTTGTTTTTGATACATCATGGTTGAATAATTTGAAAATGAAAAAAAAAAAAAACCCTAATACACAATATCTCTGGGTTTTGGTTCTGTCAGATAAATCCAGAATCCAGTGCATAAAAGCTAAATTACTTTAAAATTGATGATCTTCTTAAAAATCCATCAATATCAGATTTGGCAATAGGCGAGGTTTAATTTGCTGGTCACACTGGCTTGCCTTACCCTTGCCACGAGGCATCCAGATTACAGGCTCACAGGCTTCTCAGTGTTGGCCTTTGTCTGCAGCTGCCCCTTAGTTGGAGCACCAAGCTGCCGTCCTGCAGGAACTCTACTCAGTAGCTGCCTGTAGGCCAGAATTATTTTTTTCTGTGCTCATTTGTTGATTGTTGAAACCAATGAAACTGTATTTCATTATTCTGGTCATCTTTCCATCCAGCTCTTCACTGTACATCAGAGAAATTCAATAGGAGCCAACTTTTCTGTTTGATGTTTCTCTATAAATTCTTTCTGCACTGACATATAAATTTTTTGGTAGGCTAGTCCATGATTTCTCTAAGCACTCTAGCCTTAACTCTTAGAAAAAAATAATAAATGGTTTGTTTTGCTTTTACTGTGCTAGGCTGGATCCAGCAAGGCAAAGGCCAACAGTCTTTGTGCGTTTTGGGGGGGTTTATGTTTTTGTTTTTTTGAAATGTTGTCAATAGCTCTGTAATCACCATTTCTATTCAATTCTGCTTCATCCCAGATCAGCAAGCTTTAAAGCGCAGTTGTTTGGGGTTTTTTGTTGTTGTTGACAGAACTTTAAAATGCAGTCCTCTACATTTTCAGATGGATTTAAAGTCACAGCTGAGACTGAGGGAGCTGGAAATACCCAAACCCCTTTTATTTCTGTGATTTTCTCAGCTGACAAGCTTACTCATAAATTTTAATTTATAGCGTTCTTTCCAAACCAGTTACACAACACGTTCCTGGCCCCAAGCAGCCTTTCTATCTACGAGACATTGGTTGATAGTGTTTTATGCATCAGGCTCACTTTAGTGCCTGTTAAGTTGGTGTTGCCAGCTAAGACAATCTAAGTAAGCTCTAACAGAGCACCCCACAGAGGCAGGAAATGCCCCACATCAGCTGTTTCACCTCACAGTGGCTTCACTTTGCTTTCAGCCTCCCATGGGATACACAGTTGAGGCTGAAAAGAACCAGCTGGTCTAACCTCATGCTCAGTGAAAGAACAGTTTCAAAGTCAGGCCAAGGTGCTCAAAGCTTTTCCCAGTCAGGCTTCAGACTCCAAGGATGGAGCGCCTACCATGACTCTGGGCACTTCTTTCACTGCTCAATCTCTCTCTGAACAATTTTTTACCTTGTCAGAATTTTTTAGTCAAAATTTTCCCTACGGCTCATTGTGATCATTGCCTCTGGTCTTTTGCTGTGCACCTCTGTAGATAGTCTGGCTCCATCTTCCCCATAACTCCCCACCACTTAGTTGAAGACAGCTGTGAGGGCTCCCTGTCACCTTAGCTCTCTCCTCTCTAGGCTTCAAGATGTCTGTACACCAAACTGCTCTTGGGAAAATTTGAATTGTTGACAGGGACACAAGTCTTGCCTCTTCTATTGAAATACTTGTATTCCAGGCTAGTCACGAGGAAAGAATTGTGTGCCAAGCTATGTCTTGGCAAATTAATATGCATTTATTTGTCATGGTTGCTACTCAGCTATATAATCAGCAGTGGTGTTGCCAAAATTCCTTCCCTGAGCCATGTTTAAAAGTCTATTGCATACAGAGACTAAGAAATGGTAGTACCATTCTTTTTGGGGAAAAAAATGAAATTCCAATAGTTGGACAACTCCGCTGATTTTGATGTTTCTCCAGCCCTGGCCCTCAGGCAATCTGGCACCATATGCCATTTTATCACAACAGCTTTAGGCTTATAGGAAAGCTTTAGTCTAGTTCTCATGGATGCTCTTGTCTACTAAACAAAAGTATGCCTAGGCTGGGATTACTTTCAGTTGTCAACGTGAAAAGCCATTTTCTATACAAAACAGCAAGCTGCCACTTTTTTTCATCGAGTACCAGGGCTGCTGTTTAAATGAAAAAATGCAGAGTCAGTGAGTTACTGAGTAGCAGGAGAAGCTGGACTTTCTTCCCTTAGCAAGTAGATTCCATGTCCACACTGACCTGGAGAGCAGAGGTCCCCTCAAATCTCTCCTATCCTACAGGAGAAGGAATCTATACATCACTGATTTTCATCACAAAGAGACTGTTAGATCTGTCTCACTTACTGGAAATAATCAGTGTAGCATAAAAATGTATGTTTTTACATCTACATGGTCACTTCTTATTTTGTTTTTGTTGTTTTGTGTTTTTTTTTTTTATTTGTATGTGCCATAAGCAATTGTCAACTTTTCCATAGAGGTCTTTTTCCACAGAAATTCTGAAAAATTCACTTGGAGTTTGCACTGAGGGATTTAAAACAGAAGCCCAGCAATATTGTGCATTATGCAGCCCTCCCCCAGATGACTTGCAAAGCCAATTGCTCCACCTTTAAAAGAGCTCCAACAACCTGCACCTCCCTCCAAGAACTTGCTTATTTAAGCATAAATGTTACCACAGAACAGATGCTGGGATGGACAAGAGTGGTCCATGTAACCCCACTGTCACCACAGCTTCAAATGGCCAAACCAATGTTAAGATGGGAGAAAGGGGTGAGGAGTCAATAAAGTCTCCTCCATTTGAGGCAAACCCACATCTGTGTTAATGGTGTCAGTGCAATGCAGTGTTCAGATTTTCACACTACTGCCCTTTTGGTCAAAGAGTCACATGTTAACCAAGTTCGATGTTCTGGCAGGAAATAACAAGGATACAATGCATTTCAGCAGTGCTTTTCATCAGATCATTCCTACTTACTTTACAAACAGAATTAAGGAAGCCTCACAACATCCCTGTGAGGTAGGTGGAAATTCTTACACCCATTTTACAGGTGGAAAAAACAGGTACCGAGAGGTAAAGTGATTATCACAGCAAGTCAATAGTAGAGCTGGAAATAAATCTAAGATCATTATCCTAGGTCCACTGCTCTAGACACTAGAGAACACCAACTCCCACATGCTAATATCAGCTAAGATACTACCTTCCTCTTCTATTTTAACCTCTTTTGGTGAATTTGACACTTGCATCCTAAGCTCCTTGCAGAGAGCCATGTGATCAGTTAATGATTTATTTGCACAGGGAGCCAAGGGAATACCACACACCCCTAAATGATCCAAGCATGACTCTAATTGTCCAGTGTTCACTTCCCAAGATAACTTTCCTTGTTCTTTACATTTATTAATATATTTGTTTTACTTTTTCTTTTTTTTTTAATACATCGAATCCACAGCTCTGAGGCTGTTATTCAACTTCACTAGGAATTTCCTGAAAAGAGATTAAATTTGTCTCATTGAGGGGGGAATAAAACACATTTAAAGGCTATTGCATCCAGAAATAATCCTTTGCTCATCTGTAGGGCTTTCCTTCCCAGTACCTCCCATCCTATTACTAACAAAATATATTGAGCCTCACATTGTCTTCGTGAGGTAGAAAATGATTCCCAATTGTACAAGAGGGAAGAACGACTTGCTGACAGTCCCAGCAGTGACTTTACTGCAGAGATGAGGCTGAATACCATAGAACCCGACTGTTAGTTCCCTGCCCAGTTAGCTGAACAGCGCTGCTTTGATGCCCTGGCTCATACTTGGAGGCTTTAGCAGCTTGGCAGGGTACTTGAAAACCGGCTCGAAAAAAAATCAACTAGCGCTTGACAGGATGCAGGAGGAAAACATTAACTTCATTCATTGCACTGTCACGACTTGGAGGAAGAAATGAGCTTTCCTCAGCAGCAGTGAAAGAACAGCAGAGTGTCTGTTCAGGGTGTTGCATGTACTGTACTCTACGGAGGCACTCCAGTGAAAAAGAATGACGTACTCAACATCTTACAGTTGCAGACTGGATTGTCTGACATCCATATTATGAACCACATACCTCTAATTAATGAGTAGTCATCTTTAAGTAGTCCAGTGATCTAAAGAAGGTGTGCATGTCAGAGGTCAGGAATGGGGATGGTCATCAAAATGCTTTGTAAAAGGACTTGTCAAGTAATTAGTAGTAAACGAGGATGGGAGGTGGTTCATTTAGTCCAGTACATTGGTATGTGGAAAGGTCAGATGCTCTCAATAAGGTGGAAGATAACCTCACACTGAACAGTTACAGATTCTTTTTTTTCACCTGCAGGGAAGGGTTTTTCCAGTTCAAGTGAACTCTGCTATGTTTCAAACTATTAAAACTCCATTATATCTTCTCTGTGAAGGAAAAAAGTAATACATCCCATATAATATAAATGTGCTGGCTTTGTTATTCATCTAAATCTTTGCTCTTTCTTGGATTCTAGTAGCGTATTGGCCACAATGGAATCTTTTCCAGTTGAAGACTTCTTTCCTCGTTTATCTTTTTCCACCAGCCTTTCGTTGGTGCTAACTCTTCTCCTATTTCTGTACTGAGAGAATGGATATATGGTAGCCTCCAAATTCTCCCTCCACATTTTCCTTCACATATCTTGCTTTCTCGTATTCTTTCTCAGAACTGAGGAGGTACCTTCTAGTCTTCCTTCACAAGGAATTGTTCCTTAAAAAAACTAACAGCCTTTGTCAAGGGAGCAAAGATTATGTCAACAGGCTGCAAACCATGGGAAAATACACAGGCCCGAGAGGAGCAAAAGGATTAATAGTGTAAAAAAAAAAAAACAAAAACACTTGGCACCGCTGTGGTGCTGAAGAATCCCAACACACCCTACAAACTTTTATACATATGTACAGCTTACTTCACGCATCAGTGAAGTCCAGCCAACTTTGTGCCAGACCACGAAGGCTGCAAAACAAGGCACATGAAGTCCACCAAGCAGGTTAATCAGTGACAGAGCTGAGTGTACCTGTGGTTGCCTGGGCTGGGGTGTGGGACGACAAGACCCAAGCCTAGGACATCTATCTCAGACACCCAGCTAACTTCAATGGGCTTTGGTCAGCCCTGCTACAATGGAAGATGGCAGGGGGTCTTTTCTAACTAATGGCAGGATGAGTTATATGCATTATGCCAAAGACTGCTTTTTTTCCTGATCTGGATTAAAGCCTGCCCTGGGAACAATGGAACGGGCTGCAGCCCAGCAGAAAGAATTTGCTGAGCTGGCAGAGTCTGAGGTTTGCAGAGCAGAGCAGATGAGAGTGCATACCTGCACTTTTCTGACACGAGGCTCAGTTTTAGAGGGGACATAGCAGTTAACCCGAAGCTTTAAATGCATAGCTGCACTGTCCCAGCCCAAAGGCTCTGCTGCAGTCCTGAAGGTAGAAATCCACAGACATTTTAACAAGCGCATCTTTTTCTTCCTTTTGTAACTAAAAAGATTTACTGAGGCTATGAGAGTTCCGCACAGACCTGTTGGCACAAAAGATAAAGGCTATGATGATACCTTTCTCTCCTACTCTAAAAGATCTCTTGAAAGGCCTTGTTTTATTTGAGACTTTGGCATTTAATAGCAAAGTAGGCCACTGGATGGCTCCCATCTGTCAAATTAAAAACAAAACATGTCAGAATTATCATTTCAGACTTTTCAAACTTGAACAACCAGTTTTGTTTCAGAGTCACATAGTTACCTGTGGTTTAGATTCACAGGTGCCTTCAAGGTGCTGTACCTGAGATTTGCTGAGTGCCTGTAAGTCTTGGGGCTCCAGGAACTGAGCACATGTCAGGATCATGCTGTGAAGGCTTGTATTTGGTTTCATGCTCTGGGAACTGTAGCTGTTCTTTCTTTCACAGAAACCCTTCCACACTTGCTTCACTAAATTGAGTTTCAGATCTTTACGTCACTGGATTATAAGTAAAAATATAACTTGATTTTTTTCTTTCCAGTGCTCTGAAGTGCTCAGCTTGGAGCTGGATAACTCTCTTGGGAACAAATAATCCATCTGTGAGCATCTGCTAAGTCCTAGAAGACAGCTAGAGTTAACCTTGCCCACTGTTAATGTCACTAAAAGAGCAAAAATATTTTTGACAAAGGGAAAATAAAATATTTTTACCTAACTCAAATTTACATTCACAGAGAAATCATAGATATTTCTGGTCTTTGCTTTCTCAATAAAGAGGGAAAATAGTGCTTACTGTTTTGGTGTCAATGCCAAACACAGAATTCACTTTGTGAATCAAATAATTGCAAATCCATGCCAACAGCGAAGGGGAGATCTGCTCAGCATGCCATAGGTGAAAACAGAAAAAGAAATAGTAGGTACGGTTGTTTATTAGCCTCCCCCTTAGATGGCTCATGAGACAGATCCTCCCCACATTCCTAAGGAAATGTGGAACACGAAGCTTCCAGTAAGTACATTCACAGTGGTGACATCTGGGTTTCACTGCCACATTAGGTTTTAAAACACATCAGTTATGTGGACAATGTAGATATTACTGTAAGAAATGAGCTGGCATGTGGAAACGGAAAATGTTCCTTTTCAAATGGACATATAGGGCAAATAAGGCACAGTTACCACAATAGTACCTTTCCAGGTGAGAATCTCAAGATGAAATAATATTTAAACGATCATTTTAGCACTTTGCTTAAAATTCTTCTGCTTCTTTCTCTCTCCTTTTCTTTTTCTTCTTTTCTTATGCTCCTCATAACCTGCATCCTCATACAGTCAAATCGTCTGACCTGGCCCGGCTGCTGGCTTTGCTTAGCCTGCTGAGGGATCTCACATCAGAGGCAAGTTCAGCAGGTGCTGAAGGCCCTTCCACTTCATCGCTCACCACCTCCTCCTCTGCTTTCTTCACCCCTGGTTCTTCCTGAGGTGCTGGCTGCTCCTCTTGTTCCTCTTCCTCCTCTGCTCTTACCTTCTCCTCTTCCGGTTCCTTTGCTTGTGCATACGATGGCAACCTCTCGTCGAATGCCCTGGAGAGATCTTCCAATGGCCCCATTCCGATCTTCTCCTCAAACTCATTGAAGGCCGATGGAAGGGGACTGGGCTCAACCCCTACTTCCGTGAGAGGGAAATAGTGGGACACTGGCTTTTCTTCTTCTAGCAGCTTGTAGCCTTTGGCCTTCGGGATGGAGGACACTGCAATAGCATGCAGGGGCTTCTCTGGCACCTCCCTCATTTGCTCTTCTGCTGGTCTTCTCAGAGCCCTCCGGATCCTTTTCAGGATCAAGTGACTGATCTCCACCAGGTTGAGGAAGAGGGACACAGAAGCCACCACGAGCATGAACATAATAAAGATAGTCTTCTCTGTAGGCCTGGAGACAAAACAGTCCACTAGATTGGGACAGGGCCACCGCCCACAGCGGTAAAGGGGGAGAATGCGGAAGCCGTACAGGAAATACTGGCCAACTATGAATCCCACTTCAAAGAGAGTTTTGAAAATGATGTGGAAGATGTATGTTCTCAGGAGAGTCCCCTCCAGGCGAAACTTCTTGGTCCCATCTGGGTTGTTGCCCTTGTTTTGATTTGGAGCTAGGGGCAGCTTCTCTTCATCCACCTCGGCTTGCTGACGCCTCTCAGCTTCCTCCCTCTCTTTTCTCTTCTCCTCCATGCGGACGTGGTGCACCGCATGCCCAAAGTACACTAGTGAAGGCGTGGATACAAAAATGATCTGTAGGACCCAGAGCCGGATGTGGGAGATGGGGAAGGCCTCATCATAGCAGACGTTCTCACAACCAGGTTGCTGGGTGTTGCACACAAAGTCTGACTGTTCATCTCCCCAGACTAGTTCAGCAGCTGTTCCCAGGATCAGGATGCGGAAAATGAAGAGCACTGTGAGCCAAACTCTCCCGATGACAGTGGACTGCTCGTTCACCTGCTCTAAAATGTTCCCCAAGAAACTCCAGTCACCCATTTCTTACTGTCTAAGGAAAGAAAAAAGAAAGAGAGAATGACGACAAATTATGCTAAATTTAAAAGACTTCACATTTTCCCACTGATGCTTGTTACTTTCAACTAGTATTTCTCTAATATGCTTTGAGAACAGAAAGAAGATTGCTTGCTTCTTTGCTCTGATTGCAATGATTTATTAGCAGGAGATAGGTTGGAAAGCCAGAGCAAACGGCTTGCCAAAATCATTCTTCCCTGGCTCTAAATGAGCAATTACTTTTGAGCCAAGGAGTGTATTTAACTCCTTTTCCAGATAGTAGTCTTCTGTGGTCTCTTCTAAGCTCTGTGTGTGCCTGCTTAAATTTTATACACGTACAAACACTTGCCAGCAGTACAGTAGAACATATTTATCAGCATGCAGAGCTGCAGTGGTTATAATGAGTGAAACTTCAGCAGAACTGTGCAGGGGTCAAACAGATCTTGAATTGGTGCCCACCTTGCACGTATAACAAATACAGGCTTTCTATAGTTGCATATAGTAAGTCTAACTAGGAATCACCATGTTAGGTAATACTAGCAATAGTAACACTATTACTACGTTAGTAATACTTCGTAAGATTAATAACTACCATATATACTAGTTTTTCTATACAATAAAATCATTTTGTGTTATAGGAGTTATTGTATGCAATTCTGAAGTCAGCTGCCTCACTGGCATTGGAACCAACCTGGGGAGAAACATGAGCGTCTGTCATTGGGACCTCAGACACTAGTTTCTCTCTGTAAAACATCAGTGCTACTATCTCAGGCTAACACAAAGCTGTAAGCCAGCTGTAGATATCCTGCTGGAAAGCTAATGAAGCAGTTAATTTTCAAGTACTGCAGGTCAAACATTACATCTCTCAATATTTTTGCATGATAAGAGATTATTCCTGGCCAGGACTTCATCCTGCATATCCAAAACTTCCCAGTGTATAATGTCAGGTACAGGAAAACAAGAGAAGAGGAAACTTGTTTGGGACTGGCTGATGTAAAGTACTGCAGCGGTACGAAGACTCTGAGGAATGTGAAATATTACAGTGATCCAAAAAGATTAACTCGTGGACAATATCAAGAGAAACAGGTAACATTAATCATAAAACAGCTGTTCACAGGGATCTAAGAGTTCATCTCTTAGATGCTACCTCCAGCTATAGTTTTCTAGATGCGGACACACATATACAGTTGCTGGGAGAATGTACAGCCATCAGCATGGAAATCTGAGTATCTCAACTTCCCTCCTTCCTTCAGATAGCACTGGGATATATTTGTAATGCCATATGTTACGACACACTGATGTGTACCAGTCTGTTTCAAATACCATGCGTACATATTCGCACATAGATCAACACACAAAATATCGAGAGTTCTGAGTCTGGGGATTTTACAAATTTTCAACCAAAAAATCTTTGTGATGTGATTTTTCTAAAACAAGTTGGACTCATTATTCTCATCTTCAAGTGCTGTAAAATGTTAAGCCCAGACATCTATGTTAAAAAATAAAGAGCAGAATGCAGCTCTTCAGTTTGCACAAACTCCTTGCATGCAGAAGTGGCAGACATATAATTTAATCACCAAAGAAAATTGCTACTTTGTCAGTCATTAAAGTTGTGTAAAGAAGTGTGTTAATGTCAGCACTTACATTAACAAGTCTAGCAGGAGATTATGCTGTTTACATACATCTAAACTGATTTAAACATTCTCTTTCTGCAAATTCACAGAATGGAATATATCAGCCATTAACCAATCATGTGCAACTCCATAGAAAACATCACTATATACAATATTAGCTCCATTGTCCCCAAAACACCACAGTTTACTACATCCCTTTCTTCCTTTGTGAATCACACGACATCCACAGCCATCAGTTCATCATTTCCATTGCATGGAAGAGTGTCATTCTAGACATGATAAACCTTATCACACAGAAAACTCACTGTAAAAGAGAAACGTGTTTCCTAACTCCACCAGATGCTTCACTTGCAGCTTTCTACCTCTGACAAAACTCTTTCTATGATCACTTCTGAACTAGTCACATTTTTCAAAACTCTGCCACGGCCAATCTATTTTCTACAAGAGAGGTGACCCAGGGTTGCTCACTGGGTTCTTCAGCTGCAAGGAAAAATTTGGGGTGGACTGGAGAAGAGTAGTACAGCCAATTCAAACTCCACCTGCAATCACAGCTCTTCCAGACGCACAGAAAAGAAAAAAAAAAAGAAAGGAGGAGGAAAGCAATAAATTTAGGCATTCCCCTCTTCCCTTAAATTGCCTGTCATGAGGAAAAGAAAAGACTGCCTAAGCTCACTCAAAGTTGACAGACTAATTATGTCCCTAACTTGCACGGGCTTACTGCAAACCCCCACCCAGCAGTTCCAGATGCTGCAATCTGAGCACGCTACCAGCAAGAAAGGCTCTAAAGATTAAGGACGTTGAGCAAGTAACTTGCCACTGAGAAAGGTTCCACCGAAGAATTGTGTCCCCCTCCTCTCTTGGCACTCTGCAGTGAAGAGTGAACTTTTGTCTCTCTCCTTCCCTACCCTAAAAGTCCCAATCTTGTCGCACGACTGAACAGATATGACTGAATTGGCTCTGATGGCAGGTTTTAGTTGCCGTGCAATATTTAAGCTCCGAGCCAGACGGCTTTATGAAGTGAGTGACAGTTGGTGACGTGGGGAACAATAGAGAGAAAAAAATAGAGAAAAAGAGGCAGAGACACAGAGAGGAGAATCCACTGAACATGAAAAAGCAGAGGGGGGAGAAAGGCAGGCAACAGGCAGTGAAAACCTAATACATGCATAAAGGGGAGTTTGCGTGGTTAAGCGGGGACTGGAGCATCTCTGCTGATGTGCTGTCATTCAGCACAGCTCTGCATGCCTCCACTTGCCAGTCTTTAGGTGTCATGCTGTGAGAGGTGAAAAGGGAGCATCCGCATCTCTGATGGTGGCAGAACTAATTAAACTAATTTGCTACTTACACCCAGATCCAACAATTGAATCTTGCTGCTGATTTCCAGCACTGGCGATCACTGGGGCATCACATCTGTATTTGACATTCTTAGGTACTTTAGTCTGGTTTTGACATCTTTCAGCAGGAAAAAGAAGCGGTATGGGAAAACTAGATCATCACTCAGTATTAACCAAAGCTGAGAAAGACTTGTTTTGTGACCTAGACTTCCAGTGTCCTTGTTCTGCTTAATTTATCCTCTAAATGCACTTTGTACATACATCAAAAATGTCCAAAACAAACTGTTTTGTTAAGGAGTGTAGCCAAATTCCAGCAGCCCAGCAAACAGGAATGTTACCTCAGGCATAGCCATCTGCAAAAATGTTGGAGAGCCCACAGAAGAGGAAAATCTCATGTTCACTAATGCATCTACAATACAACGAACTGCAAAAAGATTTGATTGTGAGGCAAAGCATATTGCTTTATTCTGATGTGCTGTTTTGGTAGTTTTTCTGTATTAACTGCTCAGAACATGCTCTTGATGCCCAACTCTGAAGAAAAAGATGATTATGGGAAGCAGGATACGCTAAACAATGATACCAGTACCAGGCTTACGAAGTGACAAATGAGAAGTGGCTCTCCTCCTTCTTTGCACAAAAACACTACTGAAATTAATTCCTCAGAACAGCTCTGGGAGATCTCTGTTTCTAGAAGAGCTGTCATTTGAAAGAGATACTGTTATTTGAGGGCCACAAAATTTTGTATCTTCAAACTAGTCATTTGAGGTCTCTCTTCAGCATTTCTGGGCATTTGTGCCCAAGGAAATGCAGAGCCTTACTTCAACAGTTGTCTTCCCAAACTGCTTTAAAATGAGTTGCGCAGCACCTCTATCCAAAGCGCAACTTGAGACAGACAGAAAGAATGCTTCTCAGACTGGATTTCAGTGAGCTAGAGGATAAATGAGGGATGGAAAATAAGAAAATGTTGCAAGAGGGACCACTTTAGAGAGACAAAAGAAAATCAATCTCTATGCATAAAGTTGGAATGAAGGTCATATTCTGAACACCTTAATAAATCACTCTCTTAATAGAGAACTATTAGAGATCTGGTGCATGACGTTTTTCAGCTTGTGCTATATAAAGCATTGGAAGAAGCTTCCTGGCAAGAGGACACACAGAGAAGATGATACAGGGCCCAAGAACATGCAGTGATTAAGAACAGGCTCCATTTGTTCAACAAGAGGAAAAAAGATGGTAAGGAAGAGTAAGGAATTCCTTTCTTGCTTTGTTTTGCTATATACTGCTGAGATAAACTGGGATAGGTATGTGAGTGAATGGTCATCACTGCCACCCTTATCCTCTCTTTGGGGAGCAGTTAAAGACAGAGGACTAACTAATACAACCTGTGGCTAACATCTCTAAAGAGTGCCTGCAAACTGCTGTATCACAGCGACCAAATGGTTCTGATGTTTAACTGCCTGTCTCTTTTTAGACTGAAACTGTCCTTTTGAAAAACAACTCTGGCTGAATCCCTTTCCTGGGCTCTATCTCTAATAAAATGAGCCAAAACCCAAATCTGGTATGTAACTACATGGCTACAGTCCATCTTTAAATTACATCCAGCTACTGGCAGATACATTCCCCATTAACCTCCTATAGTCCATTTGCAAACACAATCCAAATAGCAAACACTTTCTGGCAAGTTGCAGAATACTTTGCAAGATGTAGCTGATGCAGAAATCACAAACTCACAAAATTCTAGGTGCTGGGAAGAATCTCTAGAGATCGTTGAGTCCTACCCCCTACTAAAGCAGTTCCCTACAGTAAGTAGGGATATAGAAATATAGAAAAGCATGCAGATGATTGTAGGAGACTCCATCACCTCACTGGGCAGCCTGTTCCAGTGCAGTGATATTCAAGTCACTCATCTTTGGATACACGTAACTTCTTTTTGAATTATCTGAGTGCATTTTTTGCTGTCATTATGGTGCAGAACCTTTAATATGGGAACTGTGAGCTTGCTGGACATTGGTGGTTTGGATAA